AACTCAAACTCTTGGTTCCATATTTCATGAAGTAACGTTGTGAATCGTATGTCAGTCAAGTAAATTGAGAAAAATGATTGATATATACTCAGTCCAACTGTCAGTATATACACCTCCCACTGCTGAATGTTATTGTTAGTGTTGGACCCATGTTAGGAGGAGTCTCCTGTGCTTGAGTCTAGGTGTGAGATTTCCCAAGGTCAGTACAGGGCACAGTCTATGGCGAGTGTATATGTGAGCTGTCTAACAGACATGCTTGAGGTTGTGTGTAGTTGTCAGTGCAGCCGGGTTCTTCTGAGGATGATTCTGAAACGCACAGAGTCTGAGTGTGTGTCAGCCCTCTCTGTGACAGATCTCCAGTCTGTGTGAACCAAGCTGTGGAGGTACAATTGACAGCATTTGAGATTTTTTTTCACAAGATAGTGAGAGAACACAGTGTGTCAGCAACAAGTTATTTTGGCTGTGAGGGCCAAGTTAATGTATCATAATATTTTCTAAAGGTGTGTCTTTCAGTGCTCTCCTCACCTCAGGTGGTTTCCCCAGGAACAGAGTCCACCATGTGTAATTCATTAGCCTGTCTTCAAAAGCCCGCTGCTGCCATTTCCGCTCCGCAGATGAAATAACAGACAGGAACAAATCGTCTTCAGACACTGACTAAATGAACCAGCGATCAGCATGTGTCCATTTCCCTCCATAAACCGGCATTACCTCAGCAACAGCTTTCTCCTTAAGGCCTAACTAAATGACACATGCTGATCGCTGGTTCATTTAGTCAGGCCATAAGGAGAAAGCTGTTGCTGAGGTAATGCCGATTAATGGAGGTATTTTTAGATATCAGAAGTGTTCCTCCCTTCAGCCTCACTGGGAGCCCTGCGTGCCACAGTGTGCAGGTTCCTGCCAGCAGGTTAATCACTAATTACACAGACAGCGTATGTTTGTGTGCCTCTGTTGCCAGCTGGAACCTGCAGGATTAACAGCATTATGTGAGGAGAAGAATGTGACAATCTCACTTCTCAGGACTTTAGCAGCTAATTGTCCCAGTCAACATTACGGATGATTCAGTGGGATGTATGGTGGAAAACTGCATCATTCGGAGAATCAACCTCATCTTGGATTGAAAGGATTATTCCCTATGTAGTACTGTTTGTTGAAGTTCTGTGATAGATAAACAAATGAGATGAAACTGCTAATTATATCCTGGTCTTTGCTCCATTTCAATAGCTCCCATGATGATGTCCCTCTTAGCAGATAGCAACTTTAGGAGTTACAGTGGTGCATTACCTGCCTTCTCTCTCCAGCAGCAATGGGAACAGCAGTAGCTGGAGCAGTCTGGGCCTGGAGGGGGAGGCGTGTGAGGAGCACATGTCATTCTCCCCCTCTGACAGGTTGGTCAGCAACTGGTTGACATGGCTGCCCTCCCAAAATGCCCATTGGACCTGGAGGTTCATCTAGAATGGGACAAAGAAATAGTTGTCATTGAATTGACTAAGGAGCATGTGACAGATCACCCGGTGGAAACTCTCTGCACAAAATTGGAACCAGAGAACAGCTTCAGTCTATGAAAATGATTTACCACATTGTACAATGGCCTTTTGATTTATACTTTGTCTCATACTAGGACCACCAGCTCTTTGCATGACCACAATAGAGTGCTGAGAATGACTAGGGTTGACACAGCATATGCTTGTTGATGCTAATGTCAACATGCAGTCTGTTGTGCTGGCTCTACACTAGTTGCATGCAATTTTGGTTGGGGTCATTCCCGGTGTTATTTGTGGGGTCTCTTTCTGCATTAATGCTATTAAACAGTTTAGACACCAGTAGGTTCAGTTCAACAGGTTTGCTGCCACATGGGCTCCAGTGTTAAAACAACATGCTCACAGAGGTATACGTCTGTGTTGGCAAGTTGAATCCATACTGCCAACCACTGTAAACATGCCATGGTATCTCAGGCTGGTGAATGTGTTTACGCTTCCATCCGTGCAGCCAGCCAGCATGCACTCAAGTATCATTTGGGGTTCAGGGTTTACTACTGAACAGCAGTTGAACTGCAAAAACCTGCCACATATACAGTATGTTGTCCTTCTACATACATAGAACAGTAATTGATTAGTTTGGCAGCTGACAACCAGGTGTCAGTTCACCAGCAAGTCAGTCAGGGCCTTACAGCTGCATCGTCACTGGTGACTAAATATTCACTGTAAGGAAGGTTTGTGCATGTTGATGTTGACACCAGTCTAGCATCAACTTAAACCAGTAACTTCACAGAATGTAGCAAAACTCAGTTTTGGGGGAAAAAAAAAACCTGAAACGTGCAGAGCTACTGTTTATGGTTGTTTTGTTTCAGCCCTTTACTGTCAATGGAAAAATGTTACTCTGCAAAAACAGAACAAATGAAAATTGGCTTTATTGGAGAGTTTTATGGATTTTGTATTGATGTCAGGTATTTAAATTCACTGGATTAGACAAAGACATACATGTCCATAAACAGTTCTCGTGCATCTTTCAGAAAATGTATCATGCCACATTACATATCAACGTTGCACTTATAAGATCCACGGCACCCCCGCTCCTGCATCACAAGGTAACATCACTTGGCACTGAGCACATTCTGCCATTAGGTGGCAGGTTTCTCACAGATTCAGCTTTGTTGTTTAGTTCTAAACAATTTAAATCATGCTAGGATGTGTTTAAAAGTAATTAAGATTGTTTCATGTAAGATGGGTCGTGCTAGCGAAGGCTCCAGTTTGTCACAGTGAGATGCTTTGTATTCAAGTTAGAAAAATAAAAGGTTTGGCACTAGTTGCAGACTTCAGCAGGTGCTGGACCTTGGTGGGTTTGCACCGCTGATGTACTGCTGTGATGTGTTAATGCATGATCTTGCCGTTGCGCCTTTCTTCCTCGCATCTGCTTTGACTGTCATCGCTGCTTCATGATCCTGTTCATAAAACCAGTGAATGTGAAAAGCCTTCTTCATCGTCCTCCCCCTGGAAAGAAAATGATCTCATCATACGATATCAAGCAGAGCCTGAGTGTCTGTAGCCGTGGGCTGTGTCAGCAAGGCAGTGATTAACAAGCTTATAAAGTGCAGAAGTGGCTGTTGACCAGTTGGCCTGCATGCAGCAAATATTTGCACAATTGACACGATGGCTAATGAGTAGATTTTCAAAATGGAAAGATCAACTTTCACACTGATCAAGACATGGTCTTAGTCATTGTCTTAACTGACAAAAGACATTGAAGCACAAAAGTAGATTTACTGGAGTGTACAAAAAGATTGACTGGAAATATGCAGCGTCATTCCCTCCCTGTGTCCAACATGGCTTCTGATCAGGGTTGCTTTGATTGCAGCGCTTGTGGCGTCTAATGTCCTGCTATGCTTCTGTAAGGCTGTTAGCTTCAGCATGCTTTTTGTGATCTGTATATCCGTGCATGCAGCTCTGTCTTCCAAGCATGTTCCCTTCTCACTAACCTGTGAGATTTTTTTCTTATCCAACAGTGACAGCACAGAGGACAAGGAGACGGAGGTCAAGGAGGAATCCAGTGGTAAGGATATGTACCTGCTTGGTCTCATTCAGTAAAAGGTCAGACTTTTGTAAAAATACAGATTTTTGCACAAAAGAACAATCCAGATCAAGCTGGTTCACTTTGGAGGAGATGGGCCCCTCTCCTAATTTGAGGTCATGCCCTTTGTGACCCTTTAGATTCAGAACAGTTGGCTATGATATTAACTGGCTGTGTGTTGTACCCGGGGATTTCACCGCCCCCGTATTCAGCCACACTAACGCTCATTCTTCGGCTCCACTCCCTCCACAGTCACTCATTCTGTGTGAGGTGTGTGTCAAACTGGTGCAGCCAGCAGACTCTGGTGTGTCCACATGTTGTGAGATGTGCTTAAAGAAGAAGAGAACACGCTAATGCACAGTACACTCATGTCTGAAGAGTGCTTAGAAGGGCCAGTCGGGAAAAACAGGAAAATGTGTGGTAGAAAAATATGCCAGGATGATTCATGTTAAATTAACCACAGGTCTGTGTGCTGCAGGGACTCTGTGCATGGACAGGGCTCAGGTGCAGGTCCCCTGGACGGCTCTGCTCATAGTGAACTCGGACGTCAGAGAGCACGGGCGTGGACCTCCACACGTGACCCTGGACCCTCAGCTCCGGAGCATGCTGCAGTGGGTGGCGGCCTCGCTGGCTGACATCCCTGAGGTCCTGCTGAGTCCTGACAGAGAGCTGCAGCAGGTGATTGCCTTCAGTGCATGTAGAACATATTCACTGGTTCCCACTGTGGCGTTCACCATTAAACATGAAGGCTTTCCTTCAGTGAGAGAAGTCATTCATTCTGTGATTGTTGATGATGGATTTAAAGGTTAGTCCTGGTTTCCACTACACTTAGCTTTGCTGTGGTGACAAACCACCAGCTATTGCAGTGGATCAGTGAAACCCATATAATCTACTGTAGTGCACTGTTGTGTACCTGCACAGCCAGGGGCTCCTTCCAGATGTGTTCATTTGAATTGATTATTAATGGAATGGCATTTATTCTAAAAGTTGACCTTGTTGCAGTGTTTTCAGTAGTTGAGTTGTCAGTGTTCAGGTCTTTTTGTCCGTTTGCACCAGTACTCCCACTGCTCGGAGCAGGAGCCAGGGCTGGTACTTCCAACAGAACAGTTCATTAATGACTTTTGTGACCCAGACTTATTGAACAGCTCTATCAGCAGTGCAGAGATATTAGCTTCTAAAAGGTTTTCAGTGGGATTGACCTCAGTCAAACCAGTGAGTTTTGTTGTATTTTATTGAAATTTTACAAAGACAAATATCTGAAGAGCTGGGCAGAGTGTGGCAGTGGAGCAGGGAGACGGAGCACTGGGTGGAGCACAGTGGATTGTTAAAGTGTCTTTCATTTTCTTTAAGCCTTTCATGACTAGTGGGAATCCCTTAAACATTTAGCCAGATCTCTTTCTTTGCAGCATATCACACTAATAAATCTAAATTACAGTTGATAAGCTCTGGCCTCTGTGGCCTCCTTTTGATCATTGAACTGAATGATGACTCTGTGCCTTACAGCTCCCAGCCGTGGTCCAAAGGCTTCAGGAGAGGAAGTGGAGAGTGGGAGAGCTGCTGCACACGCTGCTGCGCTACTGTGAGGAGAGTCAGGTGCTGAGTCAGTCCCAGGCCAGAGACCCTCATCACATCCCCCTCTTTCAGTGGCTCCTGGAACACACCTAGGGCCTCTCCTGTCCTGTCCTTCTGTCCTTAGCTCCAGACAGGGCTTTGTCAGCTCCACTGCCCCTAGAGGGCGCCATAGAAATCAGCAGATCTAGCTTACTCTCATGAATGTGAGTGGTGTGTGTTTTGCATTGCATGCTGTGATGAAGAGCACTTCTGTTGTAATTTGTTTTTCTTTCCACCTTCTGTTTTGTTGCTGCAGTTTTATTATTAATCAGGCACCATCCATGTTGATTTAGTGAGCTGTCTTTCCTGCCAACCGGCACTCCTGGATTAAAGCCCTCACACTTTGTTGCTGTTGTGCTTAAACTACAGAAGGATGAGAAGAGAGAGACCCACCGCCTCTGTTCCAGACAGCGGCAGAGATGAGAGCAGGAGAATGTGTTTTCTGTTAGGGAATCCCCAGAGCTGCTGGGTGGATGATGTCATTACACCCACCACTCACCTCTGCGGTGGTGTTTCCACATGTCCAGAGACCAACACATACACACCGCACCCCTGTATTATCAGAAGTAATCCAAGATACACTGACACTCCATTGAAATCAGACAATTACTCCCCTCTAGTATTTCATTATGGTATGAATCCACTCAGTATCACTGTGCTCACAGTTCACTCGGGTCAAGTGTTGCTTTGGAGATGGGTTAATGGCTTCGTGGTCTTCATGGCGCCACTTGGATCCGAGGAACCAAGACCCGAAATGGGACCTGAGTTGGATCAGGTCCAAATTCTCCTTAGTGTAATCTGGTCAGTTCAGGTTGAGTTTTCCTGCTGCGTGTCAGTGTGTGCAATACATGTCTGGGTCCAAGGGGATGCGAGTGTTCATGGTATCAGGTGTGTTCAGTGTCGAGGATGACAAATGTGAACTTTACAACTCAGCAGATCCTTGTACTGGTGAGGGAATGAGATTTTATGAAAATCAGTCAAGATGTATTTAATTATTAAACGGGTTAGAACAGTGACCTTTGTCAATCACCCACTGGCTGCAGAGTGTTTTTGTTGTTGGTGAAGACGGCAGTAATAGGACTTTACATTATTTATATAAATAAACAGTTTTAGTTTATGAATGTACATTAGTTCTGAGGTTGTTGTTGCATAGATATATATCTTGCTGATCTAGTCCACTGCAGCTGACTGTTAACAGATGGTTGGTTAAAGTAGTCAATAGTGTGTTTGTGTGTCTGTTCTGGTCTGAATATGTTCAGCTTCTCCTCGGATCGGCTCATGAAGTCATGCCCGTCTGGTCGGGCTAATTCTCCAAGAGTCCCTTCCAGATGGGGTCCAGAGTTTTGGACCTGTGAAGAACTGTACCATACTGTACATGCAGAGTGGTGAGACAGTTAAAGCGGTACAAACCCATGTGTCTAGTAGTAATTGTTCTCTGCTGTCATTTTGCGTTGACAATCAAATAGGTGATTCGGTTGGCGCTGGAAGGTCAACAACTGCTTGAAGAAGTTGCCTCTTGCCAGTGTTGGTGTTCCAGTTTTATCCAATACTGTAATACTGCTTTGCCTAGCTACAATCTTCTTGGTTGTCAAACTTAGTAAAATACTTGGAAACAATGATGTTTACTTGGGTGGTCTGTATTAAAGAGTAAAGTTTATTTTTTGAAGGTAGAGTATCATATCAAACATGAAGTGCTGCTCAGAGCTCTAAATCAAGCCATGACGGTGGTTAATGTTGCCAGATGGAGCTCCTACACTAAGGTGACTCTTCCCCTCCACTCAGTAGTACATGTGTTACACTCAGCTCGGCTGTGTCAGAGGCCCACATCCAGTTCGGGGAAGATCCAGTGACGCAGACGGTGGGCCTTTGGGTAATTAAAGACACCGGCCTCGTCTGCACCTCCAAAACCACACACTAACAACATGTTCATATCTTAACTCTGAACTCGCACGTTGTCACCCACACTCCACAGTCACCTTGTGGAATGAAGGACTCTGAATACCACAGCTTCCACACCCCCCCTTCCCCCCCTCCCCTCCACATGCACAGTACTACCAGCTACTTGCTGAAATGCACTTTTCTTTTGATTTGGCTGAGAAACTGGGTGTTTCTAGGCCTGGCCCCAGACCCAGCCTGCTCCGTGAATCTCCTACCAGCGTGGATGGTTACATGCACAGTGCCCAACGCCCCCCTCCCCAGAGAAGGATTATTGGGATACTTTTTGATGTTTGTATTTATTTATTGTTGTTTTTGTTGTAATGAGGGACCTAAGAATGACATGATGCTGCGAGGTCCTCAACTTGATATGGGGACTTCTTCAGTTTGAAACACTGTAATATACCACAGCCTCGCTCTCTTACTATACACTAAGTGTTGTTGGTGGTGT